GATGTGTGAAATCATAATAGGAAGGGGGGGAAGGAATGTTCATTAACAAAAAAGGGACAAAAAAGAATTGAAAGAGCATATAGGGAGTACTTGCATGACGGATGGGACAACTTTTACTATAGACATAGTGGCTGCTATTGGCAAACATGCTCACAGATGTAGTTTATGCATAGGATTCACATCAGGCAGTATGTAATAAGTTCCGGGCTGCCTAAGTCATGTGTTCTGGGGGTGCAACAAGACTGCAATTATCGCTGTATAGGCCATGGGTGTAGGCATTGGAAAGACATTATTTTCCTGTGGGGGTAAAGGGAGAACACTATGTCACCCCCCTTAATTTATTTAACATCCCAACTGTGGGGGCACAGTGTGGTTGAAAAGCCAACTCAAAAAACAAACCTTCACAACAGTGAACTGTGTGTCATATGTTTCCCATTAAAAATAATCACTAGAAACAATATACTTTATCTGCATGCACAAAACGCCACCCCTGAATAATTAAAACAAAACAAAAATCACCACAATTTGTGTTGTGCTTCACAATCATACAAATTAAATCCACAATGTATCTTTTTACCTATACACTTAAAAAAATCTTGTCCTAAGGTGAAATTAACTGTGTATACTTAATTGTTCTTATGGTTATCTAATAAAATATTTTTGGCTTATATCTACACTGTAATTAGGTACTTTTATTATTTTTGCATGTTAAGCTTTTTAACCCCTTAAGGACAGCAGGCGTTCTGTGCCATCCTTGAAGGAATGGCTCTAAATGCCGGCGGGCGGCATAGAGCGTCAAAGAAAAAAGTTACCTGCGCTCTCTCCTTAATCCCTATGTATATTTAAACAAACGGAGGTGATTTAGTTACTCCAATGGCCACTGGAGGGAATGCCCGCCTGCCAACGTCAAGGCAGACTCCCCCTAGACGGGTCCTACTCTGACCCTTTACCTTGCTTCCTTGAGCTTCTGGCAAAAAATATCTTTAATGAGACAGAAAGGGGTATTTCTTATATACACCCCTATATACTTGTTAACCCTTAATAGAGAACACATGGGATGGGCGGCAGCATTGTAACCTAGCTCTGTGATACAAAAAGTGAATTCAAATACAAAAAGAAAAGTCCTGCGCTCACACCCATCACTCCTGGGCGGCAGCAACTACTACAGTACACATCAGCTAATACATATAGTAAAAACCAAAGAAAAAAGTTACCTGCGCTATCTCCTTAATCCCTATGTATATTTAAACAAATGGAGGTGATTTAGTTACTCCAATGGCCCGTGGGCTATGTGGTTGCTCTGAAAGAGTGATCACATGACCACATTAGGCATTTGTGTATCTGCCTGCAGGGGGACTGCCTAAACTGATAGGATGTCTCCCTGCTGCTGTAAATATAAATAAAAATATGTTACTAAATCAAAATATAATTATATATGTGTGTATATATATATATATATATATATATATTTTATACATATAATGTCATATGTGTATTTTTATATTATACATATATACATATACAATTAAATTACACCTATATAAATAATAATACATAAATAAAAATTATTTTATTCTAACTATATTTTGTTATTAATATTTTTAGAGGAAAATGTATTCATACTTACCGTAATTTTCTTTTACTGGTCAAAGGCCATGGCAGCACAACAACGGGTAGCCCCTCCCTTTCCTTAATTAGACAGGAACTTAATTAAAATAAGGGTATCCCCTCCTCCCTCAGTCTTGTTTCCAGCAATATCCCAGGGCGGGACCACTGTGCTGCCATGGCCTATGACCAGGAAAAGAAAATTACGGTAAGTATGAACACATTTTACTCTTCCCTGGCCACATCCATGGCAGCACAACAATGGGTAATACCCAAGCAATAATCAAGGGAGGGAATAAAAAACTCAGACTCATGATTAAGTAATGCCAGTGTATTAGCAAATGAAACATGAAACACAGCAAGTAAATCAAACAAACAAAGAGAACTGCATCTATTGGTAATGTCTTATGAAAGTGTTTGTTGATGACCAAGTGGCTGCCTTGTAAATAAGTTCTGGGGAAACTTCGGCTACAGCTGCCCAGGTGAAGATAGGGGCCCTGTAGAGTGTAACTTGAGTCCCTCTGGGATCTTCATTTTAGTTGCATTGTAGGATTGGATAATAGATGAGATGATCCACCTACTGATCACTACTTTTAATGCTTGAAGAGTAGAGTTGAGCAAACCCGAACTGAAAAGTTCGGGTACGTACCGAACATTAGGTTTTTTTGGACCTCGGACCCGAACCTGGACATATCACTGTATGTTCGGGTTGGAGTTCGGTTTTCGCCGATTTAATGGCACATTTTCCATCACAGCCATGCCTACTAATGGCATGGCTGTGATTGGCCAGTGCAGTTGTGACCCAGCCTCTATATATAAGTTGGAGTCGCATAGCGCCGCACGCACATGCGGTCTTATTAGTGTAGGGAGAGGATGCTGCCGCTGAGAGTCAAATAGAATAGTCAAATACTGCTGTCACATTGCAGTTTTAAAACTTAAAAATGTTTGAGTGCTAAAAAGTACATCAGTGGGGTGCACTTCATATCTGAGAGTCAAATAGAAGCGTCAAATACTGCTGTCACATTGCAGTTTTAAAACTTATCATTTTTGGGGTCCTAAACTGCTAAATAGTATTTTAGTGGGGTGCACTTCATATCTGAGAGTCAAATAGAAGCGTCTAATAGTTTGCTTACTGCGCAGTTGTAAACATTCTAATTGTTTTGCTGCTAATCTGCTAAATAGTACATTTGCGGCATGCGGTGCACGTCATATCTGAGAGTCAAATGGAAGCGTCAAATAGTGCGCTTACTGCGCAGTTGTAAACATTCTAATTGTTTTGCTGCAGTTTTAAAAAGTCAATTTTTGTAATTTTTTTTTTGGTGCTAAATAGTATATTTGGGGTGTTCACTTCATATCTGAGAGTCAAATCGAAGCGTTACTTTAATTCGAATTTACTACATCGGTCACTTGTAATATTGTTTCACACCTACAACACTTTTTACCCAGATCTAAGTGATAGAAAACAAATTGATATTTTCTACACTAGAAACTACCAGCTAACAAGCTGCTATATTCAAACCAGTGATCAATAGCTTAGAGGTACTTAAAAAATATTGTAATTCTGGGGCAATACCCTCACAAGTCAAACTGAGAGGTCAGTTTATAGGGGAGACTGTTGCCTGGAGGAAATTCTAAAACAATTTCCATATGTCCTTTGCAGACTTTACATGCTGGAAAAAACACAGATGCCAACTGCTGTGGCTTTCTGCAGTGCGCATACCAGCAAGGAGGGCAGGGTTGAGGAGTGGGTGGAAGATGATGTGTGCTAATTTGCTAAATAGTACATGTTGTGGCCTGCTCTTCATATCTTAGAGTCAAATAGAAGCGTCTAATACTGCGGTTACAGCGCAATTGCAAACATTCTAATTGTTTCAGTGGTAAACTGCTAAATAGTACATTTTGGGGCGTGCACTTCATATCTGAGAGTCAAATAGAAGCGTCTAATAGTGCGCTTACAGGGCAGTGGTAAACATTCTTATTTTCTGGGTGCTAATCTGCTAAATAGTAAATTTTGTTGCCTGCTCTTCATATCTGAGAGTCAAAAGGAAGAGTCTAATAGTGTGCTTACTGCGCAGTTGTAAACATTCTAATTGTTTTGCTGCTAATCTGCTAAATAGTACATTTGCGGCCTGCAGTGCACTTCATATCTGAGAGTCAAATAGAAGCGTCAAACAGTGCGCTTACTGCACAGTTGTAAACATTCTAATTGTTTTGCTGCTAATCTGCTGCTTACATTGGAGTTTTAAAAAGTAATTTATTTATTTTTTGGTGCTAAATAGTATATTTGGGCTGTTCACTTCATATCTGAGAGTCAAATCGAAGAGTAACTTTGATTCGAATTTACTACATCGGTCACTTGTAATATTGTTTCACACCTACAACACTTGTCACACAGATCTAAGTGATAGAAAACAGATTGACATTTTCTACACTAGAAACTACCAGCTAACAAACTGCTATATTCAAACCAGTGATCAATAGCTAAGAGGTACCTCAACAATATTGTAATTCTGGGGCAATACCCTCACAAGTCAAACTGAGGGGTCAGTTTATAAGGAAAACTGTTGCCTGGAGGAAATTCTAAAACAATTTCCATATGTCCTTTGCAGATTTTACATGCTGGAAAAACACAGATGCCAACTGCTGTGACTTTCTGCAGTGTGCAGACCAGCAATGAGGGCAAGGTTGAGGAGTGGGTGGAAGATGATGTGGAGAATGATGAGGTCCTAGACCCCACATAGAATCAAGGTCATGCAAGTGATGTGTGCAGTTTGGAGGAAGAGGCGCTGGTCACACAGAGGCACCAGCACAGCATAAGAGGGAGCAGGGTGCAAAAGCAGAGTGGCCGTCCCCAGCGCTCGTCGGCATGTATTAGCTTGAGAATTACCAGTTATCCAAGTAATACATGTAGCGATCAAAGGATCCATAATAGACTTGAGCGAACCCGAACTGCAAAGTTCGGGTTCATACCAGATTTAACGATCCATTCGTAGATTCACAGTGAGGTGGGCAGTCCGGTGACCAAGACCCAGACACTGTCTGGGCGGCGGTCGGACGACCGGGACCCAGTATGCCTGATGTTGAAGTTAGGAGTCACAGTGTGGAATGGATTAGCAGGGTCTGGTGCAGGGTAACCGCACGCCCTCTGGTGTTGACAACCAGCGTTTGTGTGGCCACATACCAGGACCCTGATGCAGCTACAGTAAAAAGAGTACTTGATACCAGAAGCCATCACCAGACTGATCCGCAACTTGGAACAGGATGTGACATTCACTGTAGCGGCTGTGCGTGCTTTTGGCTTTGTCATCCTGCTGCTGCTCGCCTGTCTGCGCTGCAGCATAACTTCGGCCTTCCCGCTCACCGCCTCATGAGACTGTGCGAGCAGCAGCAGGCAATAGTGGAGTTTCAGCTGCAGCACACACGGGTCAGTGGCTCTGCACCAGACTTCCCTCCAAATGATCAGAGTTAAAGGATTTCAAGTGGACTCATTACAATTACAGGGCCTCTAAAGAGTCCTGTATTGTTATTTGTCGTCACTACCTTCCCGCATCGGGAGTGGGTCATTTGCGCGCCTGCTGCCTTCATTGCATGTGGTAGCCATTTCTTCTTTTGTTGTATGTCCCAATATTTTGTGGGCTACCACAATAAAAAACAAAAACAAACCAGTGTTGGCTACCTCCTCCTCCACTGCCACGGTCACCGTCTCCTCAACCTATGGGTCACTTAGTATAAAATAGGTACACTTTAGCAGAGGCTTGTGAAGACTGTAAAGGGTTTGTTAGCTGATAGAGCGTGAAGCTCTGATACCCTTCTGCCCGAAGCTAAGGCACTGTAAAGGACTGTTTTTATGGTGAGTAGAGGAGGAGAAACCGATTCTAGTGGTTTGAAAGGATGAGATTTCAGTGCTTTTAGAACCAACGATAAGTCCCATGGAGGTGCAATAGGCTTAATCGATGGATTCATCTCTAATACTGCAATCATGAATCTGGCTACATCCATGTCAAAAGCCATTTATGGTCAGTCAGAACCGAAAGAGCTGACATATGCACTTTAAAGGTATTATAAATCCTGATTGTAAGAATTCCAGAATATCTAAAAATGGTCTTTATTGTAAACTTGAGAAATGTGTATTTGATCAACATGAGGTTCAGTTTTTGGGGTATAACATTTCTGCCTCTGGTTTCTGGATCCTCGCAAACTAGAGGCCGTTCTACAATGGCCATTACCCAGTGGGTTAAAAGCCATACAGAGGTTTATTGGTTTCTCTAACTATTACAGGAGATTCATCAAAGGTTTCTCTTCGGTAATAGCCTCCATCACCAATATGACACGCAAGGGGGCTAATGTACTATATGGCCTAAAGAAGCTAAAGAGGCTTTTGAGCTTCTTAAACAAATGTTCGCATCTGCTGACATATTAAGACATCCTGACACTAGTAAATCTTTCCTATTGAGGTTGACGCCTCCGAGACAGGGGTCGGGGCTGTTCTTTCTCAGAGAGAGAGTCAGGATGCCCCTTTGCTCATTGCCCTGTAGTAGTTACATAAAAACAGAGAAAAGGCTGCGCCAAAAAGGATAAATAAAACAAATTTAACTTACAAACCTTAACACCCCAAGGTCTAAATGTAGACTTTGATTTATTTAATTTCCTATAATTGTATTGTTTTTTTATCTTAAATATTTTTTTCTGGATTTTATTTACTAACTTGTATTTTATTATTAGTATTATCTACAAAGGTCTATTATTTAATGTTATTATGTTATCTGATTTTTTTATCCACTCTTGCCACCATTATTCATTTTAAGGCTGTATATATACATAAAATGTTCATCTTTTTCTTTTTGTGTGGGTATTAATAAGGCTGATCATCTTAATGCTGATTCCATTTTTAGCTTTATTTATTCTTTTTATCTAAGCCTTATATTCTATGCATTATTATTTATATTATTTTATCCATTCTTCTATTTCATTTAAACAATATTTTTTTCTAATGTGATTACTGACTACATTTCCCATAATTCTAGCGGCTTCGGTCACGTGACCCGCGGTTAATGGTGTTATGTTGCGCCGTGGGTCACGTGACACAGCCTGATCCCGCCCAGCCGTCCGTGCGTGCCGTTTTTCCCTGTTCTGGCCGGACGGACTGCTTATACATCGGCGAACAACATGCGGTCACGTGGCCCGGGCACTACAGATCCCAGAGTGCATTGCAGGTCACGTGACACGCACGAATATTGTAATTTTAGTTCACATGGATTTTATATTAAATAACCCTCGTTTTTATATGACACCTATACAAATACCATTACATGTCTCAATATATTAATGCTGTACATTACTTTTTATCTTTTGTTTGTGTATTCTCTATTTATATTTTGTACAGCCCTGATTGGTGATCGTTTTTTTGGCGCCAATTTTGAATGTATGTATAAGCTATATATACTCCTTATGTGCCAGGTACTAATACTATTCCAATTTGATAAAGCCTCTACGGCGAAATGCGTTATTGGTTTTAATATATTGTATTAATAAATTATTTTACATATATTACCTTTTAATGCTATTTTATCCTTATTCACTGTTCCTGGCATATCCTAAGGTGAGGATCATACCACCCACGCGAATATTAGAGTGCAGAAAGGCCTGCACTCTACTTGTATAAATAAATATTTTATTTATTTAAATTTTTTTTGCTAACTACCTCACCAGAGAGCACTCTTGGCTGTTTTTATTTCTTTTCCTGAGAATTGGACACCAACACTCTCCAGGAGGACAAGGACCCCCACAAGCGGAGGGTTATGCGCTGTATGCCCATCATACTAGAGCTGGTCCGAGCTCATGGAAATGTGAGTGTGAAATTTATATTTTAATTTCACGATTACTTATCTATACACTCTGCACGACTGGTTCTTTCCCATTGTGTCTTTCATATCATGAGACGGACGACTATTAACAAAGAAGACACCACATCAGTTAAGACACCATCTATAATTGGGACTCTTTTATACTACATTTTACAACTATTTTATTTGTTTTATTTAGCCTTTTTGGCGCAGTCTTTTCTCTGTTTTTGTGTATACTCTTACTGTAGAGGGTTAGAGGGTGACCCCCTATTAGGCTGCTGCCTCTTATTCATTTTATCCATTTTATTATTAGCGCTAACCTTTTTCCACTTTTTTTCTGTAGTAGTTACATGCCTATGGTTATCCGAGAGTGCATTCCTGATCTTGATTTTCTGGTATTTGACTTTGGCTTTGTTTTGACTTCCCTGAAATCTGGTATCCTTGATTTTTGGCTTTCCCTCATCTTTGTGTCTGTTTCTGTGTCCCTGACCTTGGCAAGTATTTTGACTATTCTTGTATACGTTAAGTCCGGCCATCTTAAGGTCAGGCTATACGTTATCCTTAGTCCTATGTGTGACACAGTACTGCGTGCTGGATCAACTTGTAATCTTGACACATATATGTCTAGTTCCGGGAGCAGATAGCCCCCACTTGAGCTGTCTCTCCTAAATCAGTCTGTTCTTTCTCTTTTTTTAGAACTTATCTGTTTTATGTACGTTCATCCCTCTGTCTTATCTGTACTCCTTTCACTCGTTCACTCACTTCCTACTATTGCCTGTGAGTATTTGCATGTAAGCACTTACTTTTTAATGTAAAAAAACACAACTGACAAAATAAAGGTCAGAGGCTTATTTTGAATACCAACAGGTATCTGGTGTCATGCTTCTCCAAGTGCACTTGAAATAATAATAATTTGTGCTCCCTTGAATATACCAAAGATCACATTGGATCTATATCACTTGAAGATTGCTCCCATGCATTTAGCAATAGTAGCAGGCATCCTCCTACTCCTCCTGACTGGCAGGGAAAGCCATCATAAAGATCTGGAAATTCCTGTTAAATGAAGAGCCTCGAGACTTGTCGCCTCTAATAGAGGCTTGAGACTTGCCGCCTCCTCTCCATTGCTGGGATCTTCCATACCCTCTTCCAATTATATGCTATGGACTTATATTTTCAATTCCGAACAATTATGTGCTATGGACTTATATGTTCAATTCTGAAAGATGGAACGCAAGTGGAACGCAATCTTTGCTGACTTCCGTCCATCTAGACGAAAATCAAAGTGAGGCTTGGCCAGCAATTCCGGATCGCATTATGGGCGTAACTGCGGTTTGAGAGGGTTAACAGTCATGTGTCTTGTGTCTAACCACTCAGGTGATTTGTACATGTCTTGTAAATAGAAAGTCCCCAATTTATTATATGAACCACCCCCTCTCCAGTACATTCCCATTACATACTCTCCAGTGTCTCCTGGACTAGGGTGTTCTATTTTTAAGGTAAGCTTCATTGGAGTTGACCCTGTTGGTTTGTGTATAGTCATTCTGTGTAATAAGGATTTCCCATTTCTGTCTACCCTATTTCTGGCAGTCTGTGGTTTGTAACCCCATGGTCGGCCTGTGTTCCAGCCCGCCACTTTCCAAGAACTGCAGTGATGTCCTCAATGGTCACAAGTCACACAGATGCATGGGTCCTTTTTATTAGGTATGTCTTTGTATATTGTTGATTGTAATGATTGTGGAAATACACAAGAGACATTATCATAGTAATAAAATGTAAACTTGGCTACATGTGTGTTTGAAGAATTATACCAAAATGTGTAAACATGATTTTCTTTGGTAATTGCAACTTGTTGGACCTCTAATAGGCCTAGCAGTAGGAAAAGGTACATGAAGCTCATGGCTCAACAAAATTTGCTTCCTCTGGAGCTGGAACTTTCTTGTAGTGAGAGGCGTGTATCCAATAATTCTTCCCAGCCAGTTTTACTGAGGTAGAAGTGGTTAGGAGCAGGGCTGGACTGGGGATACAAAGCAGCCCTGGAAAAAAAATTTGTGCCAGCCCCATAAGTCACTGCGCCATATATTGTCACGTGTAATATGTAAGGCTATGTCTTGCCAGGACAGATGATTGAGTAATATATATATATATATATATATATTGCTTTTTCTAATATAAAATATTGGTCCTTTCTGGGTAAAACGTTTAATTATACAGTAAGCATACGCACATGCAGACACAGGCAATTTCACTGACATTTCAGTGACACACACAAGCTCATACACAGCCTCATAGACAAACAATCTTACTGATATACATCAGCTCATTGACATAAAAACACAAGCTCACTCACTAGCAGGCACACGCATGCAAGCAAGCTCACCCACTAGCAGACGCACACACACAGCTTAATGTGGTGGTACTGGTGTCTATAGCATGTCCCTACAGGCTTTTCAACGTAAACACTGACTTTTCAGACAAAAGGCAGTGTTTACATTGCTTCAAAGTGACACTGTTAGTGACAGTCACTCAGACGGTCACTAGAGGTGCTTCCTGTGTTAGTGCCCTCCCGCCCTCGCGCGCTGCTGAATGAGACTGGCGCCGGAATATGACGCCATATTCCGGCGCCGGTCTCATTCAGCTGCGTGCTGGGGAGCAGAGCCAGCGCAGCTCGCGCAGCTCCCTCAGCGGCCGCCAGGACAAGTCTGCCAGCGGCCGCCAAAAGACCTCCCCAGCGGCCAGGGGAGGGCTGGCAGCCTTAGGCCTGGGGGGCAAAACCAGTCAAGTAGACTGGTGCACCTGCCCAGGATCAG